ACTATTTACACAATATTCCAAAATGCAAATTATATTTTAGAAATCAAATATTAAAAATCTATATAAAATCTAAATATATATATAAAAGAATAAAATAATTTTATACTAATTATTTAATATAATAACTATAAACATATATAATATTAATTACATTATATTCAAATTATAAAACAAATAAAAATAATTGTAATATAATATTGGTAATTATTAATTACATTATAATAATTACACAAGAAGAACTAAATTAATACCTATTATTCTCAATTTAGATAAATTAAAATTTTAAGAATACAACATATAAAAATTTTAAATAAAATAAATTTTAAGTATAATATAATATTGGTAAATTTTAAAAAATCAACAATAGTAATTATAATTGTAAATAAATAATGAAATAAAAAGATAAGTAAAAATTAGAGAATATAAATACAAATTATAACAAAATAAAGAAAAAAGTTTATTAAATCATTACCTATAATCCATTTATTTGAAATTTTCTCCATTTCCTACAAATGAAAAAGAAACCAAATAAGTATAAATATAAAAGAAAATAAAAAAATATTAAAATAAACAAGTATATAAGAGAAAATATAAAATTCACCAAATTTTTATAATATGAAACCTACAAAAAAAAAATGAAGTTAATAAACAAAATATACATAATAAAAATATACCAATATCAAAAACATTATAAAGCTTTAAAAAAATTTATAACATGTTATGGAAGAAAAAAATGGAGAGTGCAATAAAAAAGATGGTAATAGACAGAAAAATCAAAAGGAAAGAAAAGGTGAAGAATAATAAGAAGTGTGGAGAGAGAAGAGAGGAAAGAGAGGTGGAGAGAAAGAAGAGAGGAAAGAGATGGGAAGGGTAAGAAAAAAGGAAAAAGAAATAAAAGGAGTAGAAAAAAAAAGAGAGGAAATGAGAAAGAAGAGGAAGGAACAAAGTAAGAAAACCCATAAATAGAGGAGATGAAGAAGAAAAAAGAAAGAGAAAAGAAGAGAAATCAGAAAAATGAAGAAAGGATTGAGATGAAACTAGTAATATATAGGTTTTATACGGACCGAAATCGGTCCAAATATAACAAATCAACGCCAGATAATCGCCCAACGAAGAGCTCCAATTTTCGCTAAAAATTTTGGTGACACAAATTTACAGACCGAACTCAATCTTGAAATAAATAATTAAACTCAACACACAACAAAAAAGTTTAATTTTCAGTGAAATTTTGGCAGCAAAAATATACGGACCGAAGAGAAAAAAAAAGAGAAATCAGAAAAATGAGGAAAGGATTGAGAGGAAGCTGGTAAAATATAGGTTTTATACGAACTGAAATCGGTCCAAATATAACAAATCAACGCCAGATAACCACCTAACGAAGAGTTTCAATTTTCACTAAGAATTTTGGCGACACAAATTTACAGACCAAACTCAGTCTGAAAATAAATAATTAAACTCAGCATACACAAAAAAAAAGTTTAATTTTCAGCGAAATTGTAATATCCCAAAATTTTGTGATATTTTAGCATTTAAGTAACGGTTTTTGTGAGAGAAAATATTGTTTTGGGGTTTATTAGCCAAAATTTTCAAACTTGAGGGACTTAAAAGAGGATAAATTTTAGGATAAGGATCAAGCTGATTTTTGTTTCCCTCAGCCACACGTGCTTCTGCTCTTCATCTTCCTCCTGACTTTTGCCTCCCGACAAGCCCCTTCAAGCCGCCGGCACTAGCTCTTGAGAAATCAGTGAGCTTGATGAATTAATTCCCTTCTTTTCTTGTTCAATCACAAGATTTGGGGCTTAGAACTCTCTCTAAAGCCAAAACTTTTTTAGATCTGCAGCTGTTCTTTCCCCCTGCCCGCGAGCTACTCTTGCCGGTGAGAGTGAATTTTTGGTTTTCTAGTATTAAACAGTCACAAATTCCTCTTTTCTCACTTGAATTGGCATGGGTTTACTCTAATTTGTGCTTTTGGTTCTCCAATCTCGGTAGATTTTTCCCTGCACTGCTGTCGGCCTCCCCCAACCTCCAGCTCCGGTTTTGCTGGGAAAATTCCGGTATGTTGACAACTCCTCCAAGCCCGAAATTTCATCATTTAATTGCTGAAATTTAGCCATCTAATTGCTGCCTGTGTGTCCGAATTTTCTGCTGGAAATAGGGGAGAAAATTGACAGTAATTAGACCATGATTTAGCTTAATTCATGTAGAAAATTAGTTTATTTTGGCTGCTGTGATTTTTGGAGAAAAATCCCGTGAGATTAGCTATGGTTTTGCCAATTTTTGGAAGTTGCAGTATTGTTCATTGCGTGATTACTGTTCATAGGTACTGTTCACGGTACTGTTTATGCACTGATGGCCAACAATTAACGGGGGATTAAATGTTTAGTTTGTAATATAAGAACAAATTTGGAGATGTCCGGCCATATGGAGATTGATAGGAATAGCATGGTGATTAGGGGGTAGTTATGGTGATTTTACTTTTGAATCCGTGGTACGGTAATTAATTTTTGGATATTTTGATTAGGTTCCTGATCATTCTGTCAGTTTAGCACTGAGATCAAGTCTTCGGTTTTATGCGAGTGAGGTAAGTAAATTGTCATAACGCCCTTCGATTTTAAAGCATATTTTAACTTGTTTTTTAAGTAGTGGTGAGACTAAACCCATTTTATGCAAAAGTAAGTATGATTGATTTGAAGTGAAATTTTTATGCTTTTCATTAAATTGAGCATGCCTACTTGAAATTTAATTGATTGTCCTAATGATTTGAAAGTGATTGGTGAATTATAATTTTTTTGTTAACTTCTGTCTGTTTTGTCTTCGATGTGGTCATGTTATTAGTGACCTGCTAGTGGGGGTTAAACGCTAGCACATGTTGACATGTTATTGATAGAATCGGTTCGTTTGAGTGACCCTGCTAGTGGGGGTTATACACCAGCAAATAGTGCGGCTGCCAATGGGCGAATACATTGGTAATTACTGACACTTGCCAGTGGGTGGTTTATAATACTAGCCATGACCTATAGAGGAGACGTCTATTTCGTTCCCTACTGTATCTGTTTTTCGTGATTACACTTGTTGGCATGCTATAAGTTTAATAAGGGGCACTCCATATTTTATTTACTGAGTTTATCTCATAGTTTTTCCTTGTCCACCATTTCAGGAAGCGGAACCGAGGATGGGGAAACCACAGGAAGTGACGAGTTAGAAGGCTAGCCATTTCGAGATGGATATAGATTTTAGAAATAAATCATGCTTTTGTAAGATAGATTTTACCTTGAGATTTTGAGCTTAAGTGTTGGACATAGAATTAATTTGAAATATGTTTCATTTAAGTTATTGGATTGTTAGATGTAAATTGGATAAGTTCCGAACCTTGTGCATTTGTGGGACCCTCTCACGAGTACACGGCGTTTATTACGCCTCGGATTTGGGTTCTGGGGCGTGATAGAAATTTTGGCGGCAAAAATATACGGACCGAAATCGGTCCGTAAATAAATAATCAAGTGCCAATCCTAAAAAAGTTTAATTTTTGGTGAAATTTTCTTGGAGGCAAAACTTCATGGACCATAACCAATCCGTAAATAGTCAAATAAGCGCCAACTACATAAAAGTTTGATTTCTAGTGGAATTTTGGTGCAATTGGTTATATTCGGACCGAACCCGATACGAATATTAGATCCAAATCGTCATTGCACCAAGATTTAGCCTTACATATATACAAGACTGATATTCGGACCAAAATCTGTCCATATATATATGTAAAAGATGTACTGTATATATGTAAGGCTAAATCCTAAATCTTAAACCCTTACATGTATATACGAACTGAAGCCGGTCCATATATATCTTTATGTAGATATACAAACCATTATCGGTCTGTATATATCTTTATGTAGATATATGGACCAGTATCAGTCCTGTATATGTGGGCTCATCGTTGAGTCTCAATTGTATATACGAATTAAAGCAGTCTGTATATATCTTTATGTAGATATACAGGCTGGTATAAGTCCATATATATGTGGGCTTAGCATTGAGTTTCACATGTATATACAGACTAATACCAGTCCGTTTATATCTTCATTACCTAATTTAGTATGTGGACTGTCATTGGTCCGGATATATGTCTAAAATCTCTTTTTACACTTTTTTATTTTTTTCGTTTAAGGACATCACCACCAACTTGTGGTCCGATATTTGGACCAATGACGGTCTATATGTGATATTCGGACCAATGACGGTCCGCATATGATATTCAGACCGTTATTGGTCTGGATATGTGTCCAGAATCTAAACGTTTCTCCTTTTAAACTTTTTTATTTTGTTCGTTTAAGGACATAACCACCCAATCAACCCTGATATTTAGACCAATGATCGTCCGTATATTATATTCAGGCCATCATTGGTTTGGATATGTGTCCAAAATCTAGAAGTTTCTTTTCTTACACTTTTTACTCTTTTCGTTTAAGGACATTACCATCCTCTCATGCCTCGATTTCGTTCCTATGAAAGCCAGTTGCGTGCACATCAACACTACAGTCACCCCCAACCTCGAAACCATTGATTGTTAACCTAAAATTGTCTAATGATTATGTGGAGTTACATCATTACAAACTCACAAATGTGTAGATGCATGGTTATTAACTTTAAGGTTGGATTATGTCATTATGAATCCGCAAATGTGGAGGCTTGAAAATATTCAGATAAGGTTAGTCTCTTTGATATGCAAGCATTTGGAATCCTGCGGCTTAAATGAGAGCAGAATGAATCGGGCACGGGATAAGGTATCGGGTGAGAGAAGTAGATTCTAAGCAAATATTCCGACCAATAATGGTCCATATATAGTATTTGGACCGTCTTTGGTCCGAATATGTGTCCAAAATCTTCTCTTACACTTTTTTTTTTTGGTTCATGAACGTTCTTAATTATATTTATTTTTTTTATTAAAATTAATTTATTAATTACTATAATAATAGTTTCTATATTGTGTGTTCTTTTGTTAAAATTTTGTTTATATTTTGTACTTTAACTTTATAAAATTTTATTTATTTGATATTAGCTGTTAATTTCAATTTGTTAGATACTTAAATTAGATATTTGACCATAAATAATATAATTATTTTAATTTTATTTGAACAGCTGCAATAATAATTTTTGGGGAGGGTTATATATGATGTTTGGATCGTTGACAGTCTGTATAGTATATACGGACCGACAATAGTCTGTATACCATATACGGATCGGCAATGGTCCGTATAACATACATGGATCGTTGTTGGTCCATATAACATATACAGACCGTTACCAACTTGTATATGGTATACATACCGTTGTTAGTCCGTATATCGTAAATCCAGCCATGCAATTCTTTCTGTTTAGGTGGGGTTAATCGATTTGTTATACAGACCGTTAACGGTCCATATAACATATAAAGATCGTTGACAGTCCGTATAACATAAATTCAGCTATATGGAATTCTTACCATTCTACTAGAAAGATTTAATCGATATTTAAAGTGAAAATATTATGTGTAAATGTTAACAGTGTGAAAATATTCTAACCTAATTATGATATTTTTCGTACAAAATGAAAGGAAATTTTATTCATTTAGTACAAATAAATAAGTCTTTAATGTCTGCTATAAATATAAAGTAAATATAAATGTCTAATGCAAATATAAAAAGTCTACATATCCCGTGGTGTCTGAGGGGTAATAGTGCCTCTAGTATCTACTAGGATCATCCCTAAATGCTGGTTGAGTTGCTGCATCTGTGCAGCAAAGGTCACCTATGACTGTCGTAGGCTTTGATTACCTGTCATAGGGATGTTCTGTGATTGTCGAAGGCTCTCATTATTTGCCCTTAATGCTTGGATAGTTTTCTCTAATTCTTGAACCCTACTAAACTGTCCTATGATGGGTGACCTGGATGGTTCCCGTCTAAATGTGCTTACAGCTACATCTCGTGGATGTGTATAAATGTCCAGACCTTTTAGCCATCCTTTATTGACCCCACCAGTTGCTCTAACTAATAACTCACCATGGGCTATTGTAGGGTCAAAATCTTCTTCCTCTTGCCTGGCAACATATTCAATTGCCATTTTTTCCTAAAATCATATAAGATAAAATAAAATGTGTTTAAAATTGAAGTGAAATTTAAAATATCAGTTAGGGATATTAAACAAAAATTCAACAAAATTCAATTTACTCTCTTCTAAAAAGATAGGCTTCTAACTTTTTAACCTTTATCCTGTTCCCCTAAATATTAGACATCAACCTTGTTACCAATTAACATCAATTAGGAAATACACACCCACATTCAACAAGAATTATATTCAATAAGAATTACACACAAAGTTTACAAATTTCATTTCACAAAACAAAATCCTTTTGTTCATACCATTAAATCCTTAAGCATAAAAAACGAACTAAACAATTACATCTACACAAATTCTTGAGTTGCTGCACCACTCAAATGAAAAATAACAAAACCCATTTACCTTACGCTTCAACCAAATAAAGGATCACAATTGAATCACCTCAACTACACACCCATATTCAACAAGAATTATATAATCATTAGCTTCTCTTATTCACTAAACTTCAACAATTCAAAATTTAAGTTTAAATTTGATAATTCATATTATTAAATACTTACGCTAATTTCTCGAGCCTCATCATTATAATACACAGGCAGTTGGTCTTTCCCCTTTAGTTTGTGCTGCCTTCTACTGGTGTACAACTTATTTATATAGTATTTTATTCCTAATTTTTTATTTAAAAATTATTTTTTTGAGAAAAAATATTCAAACCATTTTCGGTCTGTATAATATTGGTGCGCTTCAATTGGTCTTTGGCACTAACAATAGACGGACTGTAGTCAATTCAAATATATTGATTAATGGATTTCGTACCACCTCAATATATTCGAACCATTTTTTGTCTGCATATAAATTTATACGGATCGACTATAATTGGTCCGTATATGTTCGGTCTGAATTATTGATTTTTCTAGTAATGTCATTAACCAAACAAGTAGATCATCAACAAATAATATTTCATTTATTTTCTCAACAAATTAAATCACATCCACCTAATAAGAAAACAGTTAAATTATCATAATTTCCTTCGTTTTCTCATCTGCCAAACAACTAGATCATCAGCATAGAATATTTCATTTGTTTTCTCAACAAAACCACCTTTGCCTAGTAAGTAAACAACACCAACATCTATTTTCTCTCTCTCTATTTCCTAAGAAACCAAAAAACAAAATCAATGAATTTCAAATAAATCAAATTTTGATTCTAAATATATCTAAATCAAATTAATCAAATTTTGATAAAAGAAAGATAGAATTTATTAAATTTATCAAATTTTGATTATAAATATATCTAAATTAACAGCAACGAATTTGCTATAATCAACAAATTTCAA